TTTTCCTTTGTTCAACCCCCCCCAACCCCCCCCCCCCCCTGCGCAAGCCTATTTGTTAGCACTGACAGCAGGTTAGCATTAAATATACATGGAGGTTGTCAGCCAGTGGCATACACAAAGGCGGGCCCTGGCCCCTGGGGACTCAGGCAGGGAGGGTGGAGGAGCAGGGCTCACGCAGAGAGAGACTCCCAAGCATGCACGTTTGTGTATGTGTGCGAGAGAGAGACCCTTTCCTCTCCCTTCATCAGCGTCTCCCAGTGGGATCAGGGAGCAGCAGTGGAAAGGAAAGAGGGAGGGTCAAAAGGACCGGTCTGTGCTCTGGAGCATGCGTGCACACACACATCTGTCGTCCGCTGGGGCGCAGGGTGACGCACAAGCATCCTCGCTCCCCTCTCTCCCAGAGACGCACGTCGCATACTGAGAACTCGAGCTATCATGGGAGTTTAATGCCTTCACACACACAAACACACACACACAAAGCTGACTTTAAAAAGTTATTTTAACCCACTCTTTACAGCTACTGGCGATGCAGGCCACGCTCTGTGGAAGAATCCTTGCCAGATACTGTAGGTTACCATGATCAACTACATTAAAGACTCTCAGAGGAAGTTCACCTACCTCATCTGAATCTCATCCAGTATGTATTGTTGTTGTAAAGATGCCTACGGGACTCTGGGTATATTTAAAGGTATAGTTCACCTAAAAACATAATTTACTCACCCTAGTGTTGTTGTAAACCTGTATGACTTCCACTGTTTTTGTTCATATAATTAAAGTCAATGACATCCATTGTTGTTTTGGACCCAATTGAATTGCACTGTATTGACAAAAAAACAAACACTGAGACATTTTCAAAATATCTCCTTTTGTGTTCTGCAGAAGACAAAGTCATAACATGACATAAGGGTGAGTAAATAATGACAGAATTCTCATATTTTCGGGTGATAACACAAACACCAGGCTTCCGACTCATCAAGTGAAGCATGAGTGTGTACCTGTGGTGATGCAGTAGTACGTCTCATGTGGCGACACATGATGAATCCGGTGGTGTTTCCGTGGCAGCACTAGGTGGCAGTCCTGCAGTAGTGTGACCCAGAGTGGCAGGCCGAAGTAGGAGTGGGACCACTTGTGGATCTGATTAGTCATGGTTACAAAGACCGCCAACGCAAAAACAAAACATTCCCAGGGGTAGGACTCTGCAAGGGCATCTGGGAAAGAGAGATAGCATAATGGAGAGGTGGAGGGAGAGATAAACGAACAATGGCATAAGGTGGAGAGAGAAAGAGAGATAAAATTTTATGCAAATTAATACGACATGCCCTAACCCTCTAGTAAAATACAAGCCTTATCCTTTAGCATGAGAAACATCAAATCAAATTGACCTTTCAATTTTTTTAGGATTGAGCAGATCATCAGCAACAAAAATGGTTGAATGGAATTGAATTCAATGGAATTCATGGAATTTTATCCAATGAAAATACTGTCACCATTTACTTACTCTCATGTTTTTAAAACAAGAATGACGGGAAACTGCTGTTGCGTTCCAATACAACTTGTGTGTGATATTCAAGATCTTATGAATTGATATCATAGTTTTATGTAAGAAAAAAAAAACTAAATTTAAATTTAGTTAAAATAAAAATAAAGCACGGGTTATTCCTCAAAATTTCTCCTCGTGTTATCAAAGTCATACAAGTTTGGAATAACATGAGCATGAGTACAGGGGTTAACCAACTCCAAAGAATCAAAATATTTATTGCAATAAACACAACAGTAAATATCTAATTAAAATTCAAGCTATTTTTACACAGCAATGCAAAACACCTTAAAAAGCGAAATAAAAACAAACAGCGTCAAGCAAGTACAGCTGAGCTTCCTTTTACTATATTCAGTGTGCTCTATGTAAATTGTGTCTCTTCAGAAGACTTGGATTAAACCACTCAATATGGCTTTTGCTTACAATCTCTTTATGAATGTTTTGAAGAATAAAAGTTTTGGTGGAATGGACTTTCAATGGAGGGAAAGTCTTTTGAGTTTGGAACAACTTGAGGGTGTGTAATTGCTGACAAATTTTGGTTACACTTTACTTGAAGGGGTGTGCATAAGACTGACTAGGGGTAAAGGTAGGGGTAGGATTAGGTTAGGGTTAGGTCAAATAATGTCATATTTGCATTAAAAATGACATAAATGAGCGAACGACACTTAATGACAGTTGTCATAAACATGCATAAAACCTCCTTCATATTCATGACGTGTCATGTCATGATTATGAAGGTGTCATGTCAGTCTTATGCACACCCCTTCAAGTAAAGTGTTACCCAAATTTTTAATTTCTGTGTGAACTATTCCTTTAATGGCCAAAAACCCCCCCCCAAAAAACCATTAGAATTATCCAAATATATGGAAAATGTAAGCACTCAGGACATTGTTTAATTTTTCTGTTGAATAATTATTATTATTATTCCACTCTTGTGTTATAAGGAGGCAAGAAAGTCATACAGGAATGCAATAACATGAGCATGAGTGAAGGATACATTTTTTTATTTTTTGCCTGAGCTGCTCCTGCAACCCATGCAGGGCAAAAATGGAACTGAGAACATTTTACCCTTTTCAAACCATATTCTCATTTGTCGATTTCCCAATTTTTAGGTATTTTAAGATGAATGTGTGGCACACCGACGGCTCTAAGACAAGGTGTCACACTCTGGTCACACTCGTTGGTTCTAAAATAGTCGCGCTGACTCACTCTCACTACACACTGGAAAAGTGAGTGGATGTGTGTGTGTACCTGGTGGGTAGGAGAGGAATTTATAGGCCATGTGGGCCAGAGGCAGGATGGTGATCATGCAGTTGTCTCCATTAGTCTCTATGAAGTCATGCCGTGTGATAGCTGTCGGATCAATGTGGTGCTCCCGGAATGGGCGAATAAATGCCTGAATGGAAAGAGAGAGGTAAAGAGAGACGGGGGGAGCAGGACGAAGGTAGGTTAAGGTTCAATTGAAAAACAGGCAGGGGTGTCTAGGGCTGCAATTTAGATCCATTACCCTGTGGTAATGAATGGGTACGTCTATGATAAAGTGCAGGGTCAAACTAGAAGCTATTGTTGTGTTACAGTTAGAGACTCAGTCTGAACAAGCTGTAAGAATACTGGTTGTGCATTTTAGGGTGAGAAATAAAAAAATAAGAGTTTAAACTAAAATATTCAGTACAGAAACCAGAAACATCCTCTGCTTGAAGTTTCCCTACTGATAATGAGCTGTAAGCCCACAGAAACTCAGTGTGCAGAACTCTTCAGAAACATCTGTCACAAAGTTCTACACATTTGACACCCTTGCATGTTTTTTTAATAATTTAATCATTCTTTCAGCTACTGTACCAATAATAATCGGTCACAATGGTCAACTTGCAAGAACTGGCTAGTCGATTAGTAAGGATGACTGAATTAATTTTTTTAAATATCTTTAGTAATAGTGCTTTAATTATCATGTTGTACTTGAGCTGTTAGAAAGTTTGCACCAAAAAACTCTTATGGAAAAGTTATACCTTGAAAATGTCTCTCCATAAAGCATCAGTGTTACAGCCAAATGTATTTTTGAGCATTTTGCTACCAGAGTTGCATTTTTAAGACAATGTGTCCAGTAAAAAAATAGTCCAGCTTTTAAAACCAATTGCCTTCTGTGCCATTTCATTGAACTCATCTAGATGTTTGCGAATACAAAAATGTGCCTTGTTTAAGAAAAATAGAGTCAGGTGAACCCAAACCAACCTATTTATTTATTATACAGTAGGCTACTTCCGGTAAAGAAAGATCAGTCAACCAGTTGTTCAGGCAACCTGCTGTCTGACAAGTTAATTTTGAAAATACTCACTTTTGCACATCAGTACCAGTACGGAGTGTAGCAGCCACAGGTTTTCCACAAAAATCAGCATTGAAAATGCGAAAAGGCAGATTTTGCCCGGATCTGGCCGCAAGACAGGGCTGGGTGGGGTTAGATGTTGACTGATAGACACAAATTGGTGTGTTGGCGGTACTAGATCCTAAATGAAAGATGATGTATGCGGTATGAGCTACACGTTACGGAGCGGAGAGATAACCTGGCATTAAACAGCACTTCCCCACGGCTCAGATCCAGCATCATGAAAAACCATAACCCAGCAGCACCTGTCACTCACGCCCAGGAGTGCTGGTTTGAGACGGGCACCCGTCTGCGACCGCGCGAGTGTCGTAAAATGAAAGGGAGTAAGAGAAAGGATCGTATAAGCACAAAGGAAAATACAAGAATGAATGTAATTTATTTTCCACATAAAAAGGAGGAATCGTTTGGAGCCACATTACCATAGCGTTTCAGAGACAGAGCGTGGGGGGAAAAATGTCATTATCGCGTGTTTGTGGGCTGAACTCAATCACACCTATATCTAAGAGCAAGTGGCGACACTGCTGGAGCAGAGAAAACTATCTGTTGATATTTCGACAATTATGCTCCCTCCTGTTCTCCTCGTTTCCTTTCCGTCTCTCTGTGCGCGAGATTAAAAGAGCGCTAAACCCAAGACAGCACACGGCGTGCCTGTCGACTCACCGGCACAAACCTGTGCCTCGCCGTCGCTAATCCCACACCGTTTAACGGCCTGCCTTGCCTCGCCTCGCCTCATCCGCCTTCTGCCTAATCATGACTCACACCTTCGGATTGCCCTAGCAACCCAGCCAAAGACCGGAGCCCGTCCTCCCCCACCCTTAACCCAGAGCACACATGAGATCCATTTAATTTCTCTAGCCTTTTTTCCTCCTCCCTAAGCTCTTTGCTCTTAAGTGCCTGTTTAATCACGGTCATTAATGATTCTCCCTCAAGTTGGTGCTTCTTGTTTGAACATGTGGACAAAAAGCCATATATATCGGTCCGCTAAGTGCCGCCTTTAATCTGCTGGTTAAGGGTCTTAAAGCTCAGCGTTCTGGATGTCTGTAAATTCCCTCGCTTTTTTTTTTTTTTTTTTTAAAGTTCGATCACTCCCAGGTGGCAGATCCTAATTATCCTCGACAGCAGAAGGATCGGCAGTGGCTGCGGAGCCGGGTGGAAACCCCTTCACGGTGGGGCTGAGCCGTTTTATATCACAGACAGACGATGATGAAAGCGAGAGAATGCGGGCCCTTCGGCCTGACCCACAGCTGGAGCTGGACGGGCTGTTCAGATGACCTGCTCTCTACAATCCTGCTCTCGGCCTCAAAGAACTGGCCATGAAGGACAACTCAGGGCCTCAATGACCAGCATGTAAACCTTCATAGAAGCAGGGCATAAGGAGTGGGCAGTATGACTAAAACCATGATATATATCGGTACCATAATGGACAACATTAAAGAATTGTAAATGATCAGTCAATATTGAAAATTTATTACACAGCCCTCAGAAATGCTTGATTATTATTGGTCAGTCAGGACATTCTAAAGTCAGTTATTCATCACAATGACAATTGTCAATACCAATGTTGTATAATGACCGCTCGTCCAGGTATTTGTGGCTAGGGCTGTTTGATTCAGATATTTTTGGAATCTATTCCAGACAGATTACGCAATGGAGTAAAAGACCTGCTGCATCATTTTTCTGAAACGATTTCATCAAAACGAACGAATTTGTTCACGAAAATTAATCAGGCTTCCAATCACTATTAGCGAGGCAAATTAATGATTAGCTCTGAAATTTAAAAAAGGCTCTTACAGAGGAGTTGATTCCCCTTGAAGGAACCGATTCCAACCTTGATTCCCAAAGCCTTGAAATTGATTATTTTTTTGGAATCGATTCCCAGCCGTAACCGGCGGTCCTTACACGTGTCTTGTATCACACTACGAACACGCTCTCTCGTTTCATTCAAACACAGCTGCTGCCATCTTGCGCCTCAGTTATCCACTGTATTTATTGTAAAATGAAACTGATGTACTTCAGGATTAATAGTAGGCCTACAGTAATGCTAATATTATTGAAGTGCTTGTCTTGTTGTTAAAATGATTGTTGTGCACACTGTAATGGATTATAAGATAAACAGGCAAGATTTTAAAATGGATACTTCTCAAATCAATATTTCATGTCCCCATTATTATTTATGTGGTGAAAATTTGTGTAATAAGTGATACATCTGTCAATTTTTCATACTATACATTATATTGCTGCGAAGCCTAAACAGACTGATTTTTGTTTTGTTGTTTATTTATTTATTTAGACTCAATGTAAATATATAAAATTAGATGATCTCCTTTCATTTTTTTATATACATAATCACCACATCAAATCATATTAAGGTATAAATGCTATAGCAGACTATTTGGACTTGCACAGTATAAAGCATCATACCACCCAGTCCTTTAGGACCCCATCTCTATAGAGCACACATCAGCCAGAGAATAGGAAATAGAAAAGATTGGTGTTACTCAAAGGACAGGCCTAAAACTGTGAAAATTTCATGGCCACACTCATTGTCAAGTGTATTCTGATCATTGCTAAACCTGTATACTTGTTATTTCCTTTCACTGTAATCAAATATAACAGTCCATATTTCCAGAAGTAGCCTAATAATTGGCACACGGGACCAGATTTAGCTTAGGTCAGCTATTTTTCTACTGCCAGTCTACTGCCCCCGTCCACACAATAGCACAACGACCCCTGTCAGCACAAAAACACATAAATGCTCCCAGATTCATGGCCCCTACTTGTCCGACACAGAAAGCAAGTGTCGGCTGCTTTTTAATTGGACAGCAAGGGGGTGACCTTTTCTCTGATTGGGCAAGGAGAGTGCGACCATACTATGCATTAATGCAACCCTCCTGAGTATCTCCAGCACCCTTTGGGGTTGAGAGTGGGTGGGGTTAAGATGTGGCGCTCCAGGAAAGCAGGAAGGGCTGAACTCCCCAGGGTGGAGATGGCATTTCACACTCGCCATTTTGTTGAGCCTGGTAAACCATAACAGGCCAATAGAGCAAAAGTTGATATGAAAATTAAACCGAGTAATTTGTTAAAATCAAACAAGATACTACGCTTAGAGACCACACTGTGCATATGAGTGTGTGGGAAATGCACGTGTGCCAGAAAGATGGTGCCATTGTACCTAAATGTGCCCACACACCTGCAGACTATCACATTCATATAGTGTAAAAACAGTTATGCCATACATACTGAACTATGCATAGGCCTTGGTCCTTACCTTCCCAATTACTGGGATGTCCACTGAACCCCATGTATCAGCTCCCCAATGTACGATCCCAGAGGCAAAATCTGCTGTCACAATACCAGTCACTTTGAGAGAAAGAAAGAAGCTGTTAAATTCAGTCAGTACTGAAATAAAAGTGACCGTGAGACCATGACATGGAAAAAAATGCACTACAACCAATGAGTTTCTGTAGAGATAATGACAGCAGAACTTTATTAGAAAACAAAGGAAAGACATGAACAGAAAGGTCAAGAATAATGTAAGACTTACCAATGCCAAAGATGATTCTGTAGATGTGCACTGTGGAGAAGTTGAGGAAGAGGAAGGAGAGGTTAAGAGCGAAGAGCGAGAGGCACAGAATTACACAGATCCACTCCTGCAGCCGCTTTCCTACAGGGACAACAAACACATAAAGGCACATTAGTGCAGATTTTGATTAGTACTGAAAAAATGTAAAACAAGAAGAAAAAAAAAAAGAAACAACAGAAAGAAACAAAATGCATACATCACATAGATAAAAACATCTTATTTTAACAACTGGTGGACCAACTAGGAATTTGGAGTCTGATGATTATTTGTCTATCATTTAATTTGCTGGCTTGAAAACTGTATATTGACCTATTTTACTTATTGGACCAATACCAAAAACACTAAGAAATAAATAATTAATTAAAT